AATCATAAGTTATAAAATTAAAACTTATTCATATCGCATTTTATCTTGTTTACAACCATTAACAAAATAATCTTACACTAAATAAATAATTCTTTATTACAAAGTAATTTGAACAGAGATATAGTAATTTGAGAGAATTTCTTAATAAATTTTCTGTAGTATCCAGCTAATTCAAAAAATAATCAGAATTCTTTAATAGTTCTGGATTGAGAAAAGTCTCATATTTTTTGAATAGTTGATAGGTTAGAGAAAATTCTTTCTTCAGTTATAATATATCCAAGAAATAGTAATTCTCTTCTGCAAAAGTTACATTTTTCAGGATTGAGTTTTAAATTGGCATTTCTGATTCTGTAAAATACTTTGTTGAAATAATTTAGGTATTCTTCAAAATCTTTTAAGAATACATTCAAGTCATTAATGTATACATTGACAAAATTTCAATTATATTCTTCTAGTATTATATCTATAACACATTAAAAAGTGACTAGAGCATTACATAATTCAAAAGGCATAATATTAAATTCAAAAAGTTCTTCTCTGGAGATAAAAGTAATTTTGAATTTATCTTCTTCTTTCATTTCAATTTGTTAATATCTAGAGATTAAGTTTATAAATGAAAACCAGTGAGCATTTTCAAGAGAGTCCATCATTTCATCAATTCTTGATAATATATATGCATCTTTTTGGATGATAACATTTATTTTTCAGTAATCAACACAAAATCTTTTCTTTTCATTCTTTTTAGAGATTATAATAATAGGTGAAATTCAAGAACTAGTTGATAGTTGGATAATATTAGCTTCTAATATTCTTTGAATTTCTTCTAATATGAATAATTAGTCTGGAAAAGCAATTCTATAAGATCATTATTTAATAGGTGATTCATTTCTAGTATGTATCTCATGTTGAATTATATTATTTCAGCCAAGTTTATGTAATTCAATTGCAAATATATCAGCATTTTCTTCTATTAGTTAAGTTAGAAGTCATTCTTGTTTAGCAGTTAGTTTTTATTGTTCAATAACTTTATCTTCTTGTTCTTATTTCAAGAAATAAGTATATGTTTCTTGATGATCAGTGAATCTAAATCTAGCTATTTCTTGACTAGATTGTCCTAGTTCTTCTTTAATAGAAATTAGTTTAAGTTGATCAACAGGTGCAAGCTGTAGAAATATGAGTTGAGTAATTTTCTGATTTGGTTTGATAATATAATCATCTTTTGAATTATTTTGAATGATAATACTAATATTTCTAGTATATTCAGAATTAATAGTTCCATCTTTAATATTAATTTCTTGTTTTGCGAGAGACAAGCAAGACATTACTTGACTTACAACTTCTATAGGAATTTCTATGACAAAATATATATCTATTAATATAACTCGATGTAAGAAAATTCTAATTACTTATTTTCCAGTATAATAAATATCATATCCAGTATCAGTCAAATGTGCTTTTTCTGGTAGTTTTCTTTTATTTTGATCATTATAAATTTTGACTATATAATAACTATTATTTTGTTTCATAGAGACATTCTTTAAATAATTATTAAATTATTGTGAAAGTTCATTAAGAGCCTGATAAATAATATTAAATCTTTTATATATTTCATTTAATTCGAGCTGAGAGATTAAGTTAAAATAGAAGTAAAGCTGATTTCTTCAATTAATTTATTTGTTATTACTTCTTCTGGAATTAGTTCCAAAGATCTAGAATATTTTTCTTTATCTAATTTAACTAGAAGTTCGTGCAATACGGAATCATTGATTTACTAACAGTATTTTTCGAGACATTACGTTTTGTTTGAATAGCAAAAGTGATTTGGGAAAGGTTTAGACGGTGATTTTCATCAGTGATAAGGGTCTCGAGGGCAGAACGATCAGAAATATCAAGAAGTGGAGGTCGTCCCGTCCGTACAATTGGTGATTTAGTGGTTCCTAATTCGTAATAACATTGCTCACAACAGACTTGCTACAATTTACGTTAGTTGCAATGGTGCGTATGAGTCATTTTTAAGAGAACCGTATAGAATAGAATATAACGGTATAGATTTTTATTCATTGTATATAGAATTTTATTGTAATCTTTACATTTCGCACGTTTATTACATATTTTGGGTATATTGGGATTTTGGCGTAGCATTCAGGATGTTGGCACTGGCATTCGGGATTACACGTAATAAGTAAATAATGCGGTAATACATTTACCGTTACATGTATTAAGTAACATGTGTTTTTAGATCGTTTTGAAAAATCTTTATATTTTTTGAATCAGTGATTGAAATTTTAATAGACTAGATTGAATAGAGTAATTTCAATAAATGGCAAATGAAAATTAGAGTGATGACTATTCAAATTTTATATCAATGTAATGCACTTCATGCATAAAAGGTATACATTATGTGAAAAAAGTATAACATTCTAAAAGATATACATGTATCAAGTACGAGTAATTATTTCTTTGACAGTAAAATTAAAATTAATCGCGTGCGTACAGAAAAATCTGGTTTGATACGTGGTGTGAACTTTACAAATGGTGCAATTTATCGATTTCTCAATGAAACACACGTACTTTACTCCTGACCATTACCATTAGAAAATGTATTGTGTATATCGATATAAATGCATTCTTATATGCTGATGTAACAATCGAGAACTAAAAATTTTTTTATAAATTACATGTAGTTCTTTAATTTTTTCATACGAAAATCAAATTAAACCATGTTAAATAACGACCAATATAATAATACCTCACTTAATGAGATTTCTCAATATAATCATCTGAGACCGCCATTTCCTCCTAGTATCACTGTAAGTGATGTACTTGAGTCCAAAAGACAAAATCGTCAAGCAACAAAAACTATGAATTGTTTTTTCATCTATCGTAAAGCTATGGTAATGCAGAATGAAAATCAAATAGAAAAAGTTAATATGCCAACATTGTCAAAGCTCGCCTCTATATTTTGGAAAGAAGAATCGCGGGAAGTCAAGGAAGCTTACAAACAATTAGCAAAAATGGTGCATGATTATCTTCACCAATCAATCTCGGCAATCGATTTTTATCAAGGAGCATCTTTCGAAGGGTATTCACAAATGGAAATTCCTACTCATTTTTCTGGTGAAGATATTATATATGGAATACGCGATTCTTTTGGACATCAAAATTCTTCTTATTATGTTTTGAATCAAAAAAATGATACAAACGAAACTTCAAATCTATCTAATTTAGATGCTCTTAATAGAATTAATGTTGCTGATAGTTTTTCTGAAAATAACAATTATTGTGATTGTGGATGTCTTTCTTGTAGTTATAGAATACAATATTTAGAAATCATGTTAAAGAATTACAAGAAGGCTTAAAAAATTCCGAATGCAATTAACTTTAAAGATTTTTTATTGCACGTTTACATTATTTTTTTCCTTCATTTTTATGTTCTCTTTATTATATTATTGATTTATTATATAAAATAATTATGGGTTTTTTTAACGGTAGAATGAAATTAATTTCAGTTGCAAATGTTTTCATTTAAAACTTTACTAATCCGTAATAAAGTAACGGCGCATTTCGTTGAATTTTAATGTAGCACGCACAAGAAAAACTTTTTGTTTAATTTCTTGTATCACAATAAGATAAACCTGTTACATGTGAAAGTTAAAAAGATCATATAACGACAAAAGTTGCCAAAATTAGCAAAATTACAATGAAAACGTTCTCTGGCCGCAATACGCCTAACTAGTCTAGTCAAAATAGATTCCAGATTGCATATACCTTGTTTCCTCATTTATAGTTTCCTTTAGTGGATTAGTTTTTAGTTGTTGGCATATATTCTGATTCAAGATAAGTACATGTACTTGAATTGAAATTATTTCATGATAATTAATATTCTTGGAAAACTTTTTTTACCCTGCTCACACTTTAGAAATCGTTCTCCTTTGTAGGGTGTATAAAATTAGTGAGTCTTTTAGACAATAACTTCCAAAAATTGTCGTATTTCGCGAATAACGCCCATATGCATTATTCCGAAAAATCGCAAACTTTAAATAACATACAGTACATGGTTTCAAAATAATGCCCATGGCATCCCGAAATAACGCGCACTCATATAACGTATCGGCGTATTTATGTACATAATAAGCTGCATTTTTAATATTGAAAGTGAAATAAATCTTACATTTTAAAAATTGATTAATTTTTTACACGTAAATTTGACAGGTACCGCCCAAAATCCCGATGCCAAGTTCATTCTTGTCATAATTCCACTTCCACATATTGTATAATTTAGTTCAAGATTCCACTTGTAACAGTAGGGGATTTTTTAGATAAATGATTTTTGAAAAAATCTTCATTTTCTAAAACTAGAAAATTAGGCGCACTACAATCGTTGTTTAAAGTTTGTTGATTTTTCCATTTGCCGGATGACCGGTGTATGTACATGTACCGGTTACAGCGCGCATAATTATCGACCACATAATTGAAATTTTCAGACTTTATAGACTAGCATTTCTCATCATTATTGAGGAATTTTACTTCGTGCGTTATCTCCGACCCATAATACATGTAATAGTTAGATTTTTTTTACAAAAACTCAAATTTTGTATCGTACATAATAATTTATTTGTCTTATTACATTAAATTTCGTAATATCCTTTCATCTTATAGTATGGATAATTTTCTTTTCTAAAAATTCTTATCGAATTTCACATTTTGTGCTTTGACGTTAATGACCGCGAAACCTTGGATTAATTATGCAAAATGATGATCGGTATCAAAAAACTAAGATTATTAATCTATAATCTGAAAAAGCAAATCTAGAGGCGCTACGAAGTTATGATTTAAAAATGTTGGGATCCTATTCCAGAAAACAGACCAACTGCTAAGGAACTTGATGCCTTTATCAGATTTATCATCAAATTTATATATCGCCCGATGCAAAATTAAATAATAAAAATTTAGCGTTAGATCATTTTTCAATTTATTTGATTTTCGTCACTTAATATTTAATTGGCCCTCTATTTGACTCCAATACTGTATTAATTCTTCGTGGCATTGATGCAGTAACCCGTTCTAAAATGGCCACATCAAGTTTTTCCACAGTCGTCGGAAAGTTCTCATTTTTTTGAATATTGTCCTTTAATATCTTTCAAATGTTCTCTATTGGTTTCAGGCCTGGAGAATTCGCCGGCGAATTTCCCAGACCTGAATCCAATAGAGAACGTTTGGAAGATATTAAAGGATAATATTCAAAAAATGAGAACCTTCCGACGACTGTGGAAAAACTTGATGTGGCCATTTTAGAACGGGTTACTGCGTCAATGCCACGAGGAATTAATACAGTATTGGAGTCAAATGGAGGGCCGATTAAAATATTAAAATAAATTTTATTTTTTATTTGGTGTTCAAATAAATTCTAAATTTTTATTTTTACCATCGGGCGATACTTTCTGTGGGTACTGTACATGTATATGTCTATATAAATTTTATTAATTGAACGCACCCCCAAGGTAACGTACATTATTTTTATATTAAAACGAAAGAAATTTCAGAATTAAATATTTAGGATTTACAAGTATTACTTTGTATGTTCTGAATGAAGGTAAATTTATCATTTGTCAAAAATATATATCTATAACAGTCATAACCTATACAATCACCGATCCTAGTTATTATGACATACATATAGTCACAACCTCTTTATTGTCACACTTTTGACTGTTATCGCGGTATGATTATATGGAGCTGTGTCTTAAAAGTACTTGTTTACATAAAATTCTAGCATATATGACTACCGAATATGATATTAATATTGATGCCAAATCAATTATATAAGATAAATAATACAGTAATGATTATTTGATTTGTATATCTCACGAGCGTTTGATATTTTAAATTTGAGCTCAAAAAGATATGGAATAGGATTAATTTTTGCGTCCTTTTGTGTATATTTGAATTTGATTCATATTCAAATTACTACAGTATTGGTAGCATTAGAGGGAGTCAATGTAAATTATTCAATACAAAATTTATTTTTTTTTACATTTGATTGATTCCTCTGTTTTAACACAGGTATACTAATAATATACTGTATGTTTTTGATACGTTCTTTAATCCTTTCCTAGCACTACAATCATCCGGTTCTGAAGATTCTTTTTAATCATTCCAGAAATATGGTCGAATCATCAGTGCTCGAGTTATGAGAGATCAAAGAAACCAATACGTCTAAAGGTTGAGCAGTCAATGAATAACAAAATTCTTGGGACGAAACAAATTGTGATAGATTCCACGAAGCAAATCTGCAAAAAATTTCAATCGTTGAAACTTCGAGCAGCACCCTATCAATTAATATGACAAAGAAATACTTTCTGGACTGTGTCCACACGTCAATTTAATCTCATCTCATGGAATCTATAAAAATCAGTCGGCATCGATTCAATTATTTTGGAGCTGTTTTATAGTTTTGTAAGCCATCTGGTGTCGTCATTTTCTGTTCATCACCAAAGAAAAGAGGCTGAATTAATTAAAATTAACATTAATATTAATATCATTTTTATCTTCGTATGAAACGAATAAACGGACACTTGTAGAATCTTAATATTCGATATCATTTTAATTAATATGAAATGTCAATATTGAGATAGCAAGTACGTATCTATATTCTAAGTGAAAATTATTTAGTTCCCACGCCATTTATTATAATCACTATCGTGTCAGTTTTCCAAAATAGGATCCAGCAACCAATAATACCTCTTAATTCACATAAAATAAATTTCGTCATTAGTTTTTTTTACATTTGCTGAGTCAGATTTTTATCATTATAAAATGCGTGGATACTAGTTAGCGTTGGAATCGTCGTAAATTGAAGTCTTGATCCAAGTTTTTCATAGCGATAGTAATACGGTTCTCGCATTGATTAGCTCGTGTGGGATAATTAGCCTCCCATTAATTTCTGACAAGTTCTACGTGGTTAACCTTTGTTTCTGTATTAGGCTCGTTTGAATGGCTATGTGATTTAGAAGAATTAATAATTTTTTTTCCGCCATAACATCATAACTAAATCAGGTTCAATTAACGATAACGATAACACTTGATTTTATGTTTTAGTGATACATGTATCTTTGAAACCTGGCCTGAAGTAGTAACCTACCAGATGCATTTTTGATATATGCTACTTTAATTTAACTTGTATCAGGTATCATAATAAAAATTAATAACGGGATTGTAAAGAGAGTTTGATCTATATTGAAAAGCTTTGTTTTGTAAATAGGGTGATATGAGTTTTCACTGTGATATCTCATAGCACAGGACACCGATTTAAGATTGGTTCGACATTTTTTTAGGGTCATATGTTTTAAACGAATTTTTGACGTTCATGATCGGATGCTTTTTCTAAACGACTAGTTATTTGATGTTGATACAAGTGGTTCATGTGCAACTTTTCATTGTAATTTACGTTTAGAAGGTTTAGGCATATTCGGGTTTAAAAAAGATTCAGCATTAAAAATAGCGCAAAAAACCACGATAAAATTTGATATAAAATATTACAAAAGTATTATTTGAAGCTACAGTTTTATATTTTGTTAATCAACAAATGCCAATTAAAAAAACAAAGATACTTATTTTTTAACTTAGAAATATGTATCGCAAACAAAAAGCAGTCTTCCTAACAATGTTGGCCTATGACCTTGATATGACCTCAAAATTGAGACATATGACATTATATGACCTCAATTTTATTATAAATTTCACATGACTTATGACCAGAGTCATATGAAAAATGGCTTATGTACAACATTAAAAAACCTAAATATTTTGGATCATACTGATTTTTCGCTGCAAAGATTCTTAGAAAAAAAAATGGCTTGAATAATACTAAAAACAGTAATGATAATATTTAAAGTATTTGAGAATACAAGAGTTTGACAGGTGAAGACAACTGTAAAATTTTACAGGTGGAATTTTTTTATAGGGAGAAGAATCATATACCACGATAGTATTGATTCTGTCCTAACAATTTAATATCGTGTTTAGAGTCAAAAATGAGTAATAAAATGGAACAAAGAAAATATCAAAGATGTATAAAAAAGAAAGCTTGAACAATTTAATGATGAAGTAACGTGCGTGCGAGCGCAAGGGAATAAGAATAATACGACATCATCCAACGAGTACGCACTAAACAGCTGTATAAAGTATGCAATGTTAATTACAATTTAAATATGACCTATGTTATGAATTAAGAAATGACAGATTTTTCGTTTACATTTCTGGAATTAATGGGGCGCACTATGTAATGAAAAAAAAGGTACATCAGTCTCGTATTCAACAATTTCCAGGCATTGCTGGTAATGAATACAAAAAAACGGCC